ATCTGAATGAATCAATTTCATTCAGTTAACTGCTTGCTTAAAGCAACAAAAATCATCATGTGTAAAACAAATTACTGATCACTTTCCACGAGTAGTACAATGTTACTATGGTAACATTATTCTGCTCTGGTCACAGTGTGTTATGAAAAAAAAAATTGTGAAAAAAATTGTAAGAAAAAAAAAAAATTGGGTTATTTTCACCAAAGAAATGTAGCAGAATACTAAATTGGCCTAAATGTATGAAGTACAATTATTTATTTGCAACATTTTATAACAGAAACAAAGAAAATCAAGTCAATGTTTAATTTATTTTAAAATAGTTATTTTTCCACTAATAATGTAAAGGTCTATGGCTGTTCATTTAGCTTCTGAAGCAGTTGACCTAATTAATGACACACAATACTGCTTATTTGCATCTCCCCCTCCCTGTTTAACATTTGGCATTTTTTTGGAGGGGAGCGTGTACCTGTTTTTTCCTGGTTGGATTGCCACGGTGGATTGCCTGTTAGGACACATCACTGTCCAAATCTTGTAGACTTCACCTCTGCAACATCTCCAAGATACGGCCGTTCTTAACCTCGGAAACTACTAAGCAACTTATTCACTCCCTTGTTATCTCTCACCTTGATTATTGTAACTCCCTCCTCACTGGTCTACCTAATCGCAGGCTATCCCCTCTTCAGTCTATCATGAATGCTGCTGCCAGACTCATCCACCTTACTAACTGTTCTGTATCAGCCACCCCTCTCTGTCAATCCCTCTACTGGCTTCCTATTGCCCAACGGATAAAATTCAAAACATTAACAATAACATATAAAGCCATTTATAACTTTGCCCCAAATGACATCATCAATCTTGTCTCCAAATATCACCCAAACCATATTCTCTAGTCCTCCCACGACCTCCTGCTCTCTAGCTCCCTTGTCTCCTCCTCCCAGGCTTGTCTACAGGACTTCTCCAGAACCTCCCCCATCCTCTGGAACTCTCTACCCCAATCTATCTGACTATCGCCTGCTCTGCCCACTTTTAGGCGATCTCTGAAAACCTCTTCAGGGAAGCCTATCCTGCCTTCAGCTAATAACAGAATCTTCTATTCCTCCTATCAGTTCATCCCCCACAGTTATTACCTTTTGTGCCACCAGCCCCTCCCTCTTAGATTGTAAGCTCCAAGGATCAGGGCCCTTCTAACCCTCTTGTATTGAACTGTATCATTGCTGTATTGTCTCCCTTTATATTGTAAAGTGCTGAGCAAACTGTTGGCGCTACATAAATCCTGTATAATAATAATAATAATCCCAGAAGACTGCAGGACCATTCACAAACACAGCCTGGCTGTATTTGTAAGCACAGGATTTGTAACTGCTGACCTTTCTTTTTGGAGGGGAGACTGGAGAACAGCTTTAACTAAACTAAACTATAAAATATATTTTTGATGATTAAAAATATGTTAAAATGATGTTTAAAATATTATTTCCATTGACAAATCGTATAAACTAGGAACATTTGGCAATCATTATAAAATAATTTTATCTATACTGCCCAGGGGTGGACTGACAACTCGTGGGGCCCCCGGGCAATAGGGGATCATGGGGCCCCTGTGTCCTTGCCCAAACTCAAAAAAGCCTATGAAAAAGGTACCAGGGGCATCTCATGGGGCCCCCTACTTACCCTGGGCCCTCGAGCAGTGCCCGAGTTTCCAAATGGTCAGTCCGCCCCTGATACTACCCCTTAATCTCATGTGCCATTTAGACTTATGTATAATGTAGCAATAATCTTGATGATTTCATGGACTGTAATGGAATCGCATCTAAATGTTTGTAGCGGAAGTAAACTGCCAAGCAAAGATTAAAGTTTTGGGACCCCTGGAGCTTTTTGTTATAATGTGAAAGCATGCACCGTATTATTGCACATAATGGCAGACTTACCTATAAAAGCAATCCCATCCAGAACTGTAGTGTCCACTCTCCCCCAATTTGTCGGTGTATCCATCTTCACGCAGTCATCTTCTAGATTTTAGGTCTTTGGCCATCTTGATTAATCGGGCAAAGCCAGAATGATGTGACTCCCACACATGCACATGGAAGTTACTTTCAGCTGACACAGAATCATGCCATGACTGTATAGTGATCAGCAGATGTGACATTCAGTGTAAACAGAAAAAAATGTTGACAAGCTGGTAGAAGCATTTAAGACAGAAGAGACATATATGGTATGTTAAGTCATTAAAAGCCTTCCTGTCGGCACTTCTTATCAACTCCTTAAAGTATAGCTAAAGGCAAAACTTTTTTTTTAGTTTTGGATAGAGTGCAGAGGGATTAGAACACTTGTCAGTTTTTTGTTTTTTTTTTTTTGTTTTGCTGTCTGTGCCTTTGTGGAAGAGATTCACCCTCCCTATGTGTTCTGTTTACCAATATCATTGAAACTGAAAGTAAAAGAAAATCCTAAATGTTGGGTTGTCCCCAGAAAAGTAATTGAGGGGAAATCTTGTAATGGGGACTCTAGTTCTGATGTCCTGCGATTCCCCAAGGAATTCCTTTACTGTGCAGGGATTTCCGCTCACTTCCTGTTTTGACTATGGGACAAGAAGTAAAGGGAAATCTCCATAATGGGACCCAGATGGCGAAAAAAAAAATCTAGCAGAGGTTATAACCCTCCCTTGCTCTAACCATAATGAAAAAAAAAGTTTTGCACATGACTCTTTATTACTAGCAGTGAATGACAAAACTGAGGCTTTCCACCTGTTAGCTAGGTGTCTCATCACACAGCAGAAGCAAAAGAGTGCTACACTTCCACTTTCAATGCAAAAGGTTGTCAATTTCACACCTGCAAATCATGTAGTATTTCCATGTTTATCCAACCCCTGTATCTAAGGCTTAGCAAATCAGTAAAATTATATTCTGCCTAATTTCCCAGAGGGTTAATTTCCCACGTTAAGCATGAAAACATACATGGCAAATGTATATAAATATTGCAGCACTAAACCCATATTTATGTCAACATTTTTCTGCTGCCAGAATCTCCCCACGTCATATTTTTACTTTGATCTCTTTAGCTGCCAAATTCCTCTTACTTACCATCACACTCGACTGTTTTATGCCGTATTTGAAAGCTCTTGATTTATAAAGATTATATACTGTTTCTTTACATACAATACAGCTGATTGCAAATATTTAAAACCAATCTACTGAAGAAGTTAAAAATTGCATATTTCAAACAAAAGTGTATATCATTTCAGGATCTGATTACATGTGAATGGACCTGGATTTGATTGAAATTCTGTTTGATGACTGTAGTGTACATTTGGTGACCTATACCTAAAATGTATACATGCTTTTGTTCCTTGGGACATTTGATTCCCCACCACTCCTTTTTGCGTTTAATGTCAGGTACTTGATCACATTCACTACAACACTTTTGTTGGCCTCTCTGCCACAAAATCAGTATATTTGCTAATTGGTAAAATTACCTAAAAACAGGTTCTTCTCACTTCTTTTAATTCATGTCATTGTCATAATCCTTGTAGCAAAGATTAGCCAGATGAGGTTTGAATCTTTTAAAGGCAATTGGTTCTTTTATTAAACAGAACTTATGTGTACAAAAAACCCTAAAAACATACACCCCCTCCTTTACCAGTATAGACACAAATAAATTCTAAATTCAACACAAAAAATACCCATATGATTCCTCTAACATACTCACCTGCTTTGCTCTCCCTTTTTACTATTTTTTGGCTATAGTTTCTGCTGTATAAATTAAGATTAATTTTTTTTAGGAATTCTTAATTTACTAATTTTACTTCTAATATAAATTTGTGATTCCGCTGTGTTATATTTTTGTTTAGTTTTGTGCAATTTTCATTAACCACTGTTTCAATTTTTTAGCTTTATTTAGGTGGGATGCCCACTATAGGTGAATTTATGTATTGATAGATATGGGTATGGATATATATGGTCTATTGGATTGCATATTTCTATATAAATATAGAAGCATGTAGTTACAGTGATTTTTTATTTTTACTATACCAGTACAGTAAGGGAAGGTCTGGATGCCCTAAATAAAAAGAACAGTTGAGTGAAAGGGTATAGATTATGAGTTGTCATTTTTTTTTCAATCATTTGTGTGTTTATTGTTTTACTTTGTTCAAATGTAAATGTTTTACTCTGTATTTTTTGTGATACATTTTGAATGCATTTTTACTGTGTGTTTCTATACTGGAGGAAGTTGTGTTATTTATTCTGAAATGACGATTGATACATATTTGACTGTACTGACACCTTTTCTTTTGTGTTTTATGATTTTTTTGTATTTCACAACACCTTTGATCTTTGTAGGAGGTTGTCTCCTGGAGGATCAACTTTAGAGAGCTTGAGAGACAGAGACAGAATGTGATGATCCAAGGCTAGTTTCCTGGATGTTCTCCATGTGATTCAACAATTTGAACATTCATAAATTCCTCAATCAAAGATTTTTTTCATGAAATGCTACCTGCAACTGTTGTAGGCTGACAAATAGATTGTTTTTTTTTAACTTAACACCCTCTAAACTCTAAAATTTAAATTTACTTTCATTTTAGTCACCACTAATCTCTAGTAACTCTGCTTGTGTTGAACACAATTTGAAGCATTTTTCTAGATCTATGCAAGTTCCAACAACTACAATGTGATGAGGAATAGCTGGTGCTCCTGTTCTACTAAAAGATTTTATCCAGGACTTTTCTGGGTGTTTAGAGCATTTTGTCTCTGGTTTTCGCTAAAAAGAAATATTTAATTCACACAGAGGGAATTCTAATAGATTTTCACACAGCAGTCTAATTCACAGTGGTGATTAAGGCAAATTGTTGCTGAGCTGATTTCAGGGACTTCCCTTTTCTATATTTCTGGAAATACCTCTAATGAATAAATATATATCTTATTCTTGTTTCACAAAGGATAAGGAACTCATCTGTTTGAATTGAGCCTCTAAACAAATTAATTGTACCTTGTTTTGGTATATGTTAGATAATGTCTCTAACATCGATTTCACGTGCTATAATATTAGAACCTTTTAATAACCAAAGCAACACTGTTGAGTTTGTTATTTGGGGGTTTTCAAGTTCTCCACAATTACAGCTTCTACTATTCATTGCTTTCCTATTAATTTATCTTCTTACTATTTTTGGCAACTTTACTATCATTACTTTGATTTTTGCAGACTCTCGATTGCAAAAGCCAATGTACTGTTTTCTCTTTAATATGTCTTTTTTAGACTTTTCCTACAGCACCGTCACTGCCCCTTATTTGTTATACAGATTTGTCACAGGTAATAAAAAACTTTCTTTCATGAAATGTATGGTTCAGCTTTACTTCTTTAACTCTTTTGCTAGTACTGAATACCTTCTGCTTACTACTATGGCTTATGACCGATACGTAGCTATTTGTGATCCCCTTTTCTATCCACAAACTATGAACAGAAGAACTTGTTTTTGTTTAGCAGGTTCTGCCTGGTCAGCAGGATTTTTAGCTGCTGTACCTGTAACTGCTCTAACATCAAAACTTAGTTTTTGTATGTCTACTGTGATTAACCATTACTTTTGTGATGTCGCTTCCTTACTGAAACTAGCATGTGATGACACCCTACCTGTAGAAATCACAATGTTCTCTCAAGGGGTTGTATTGTTGTTCAGTTGTTTCCTACTTACTGTGATGTCCTACGTCTACATCATCTCTGCCATCCTCAAGATTAGGTCTACAGAAGGAAGACTCAAAGCCTTCTCCACTTGTGGATCTCATCTCACTGTTGTTATTCTCTTCTACCTCCTGGTTGTTTGTGTGTATATGAAGCCGTCCTCCACATATTCACTGGATGAAGAGAAATTTCTGTCTGTCTTTTATGTAAATATTATTCCTATGTTAAATCCATTTATATACAGCCTTAGGAACAAAGATGTCAAAGATGCATTTAAAAATATGTATGAGAAAACACTGCAAAATAAAAATCGTAAAATATAAAACTGTTGAAAAATTGTGTTTGCCATGACCTGTAATTGAAGATATAGGGAGTGGGTATGTGATATAATTATCTCTAGATGTCTCATAAGAGGAAAAAATATTTAGATAGGAATCCCAAATTATTACTTAATTTTATCATCAATTTCATCATTCCAACTCTTCATAAAACATCTTCATACAATTTCTGAATGTGGGAAGAAAATAAACATACAATACAGTCAATTTATGTTCATATCCTTTCCAAATTGCAAGAATGTATAAAGAATTTATAAAGATAGAGTTGAAATGATGGAAAATAATTAGGTCTTCTTTCTTTTCTATGAGAGATCTGGAAATAATGGTGAGAATGTGAATAAAAAATTTAAAATTTGAGATCAATCCCATTTAGAAGGTGGTGGAAAACACAATTGGAGCACATTTTATGTGGAGTTTAGAACACATATGGTGTTGTATATAATTTACCTGGTTAAAAGTGTTGGATCCCATTCCAAGGACTTTACCTGTGTGTGGAATGAAACACAGTTATACAGAAAGATTGGGGACTTTGCAATATTATATTTACTACATGTAGCACACATTTTAGCATGGATTGTGTATTTGGATATAATATTATGTATACTTAATAATGGCTGCATTTCATATTATAACGGTTTCTAAAAATGGTTGGTTTGTTGGATAGCAAGGTTGTAGGGGATATATTGTTTAGTGTTTAAATTCATTTCTTTAATCTATGATCTCCAAACAGCCAGCCCAGTCAATCTGTTATAATAGTCATTTGCCCAAACTGTTAAAGCATGTCCTTCTGAATCTGTGAAATTTCACTGTTTTGGCTTTGACTGGAAAATTGGCAAATATGTTATCTGATGTACAGTACTTGAAAAATCTTTACAGTTTGTCTTCTTTGTTCCTATCTATGTACTGTTTACTCATGCAGTAAATATGTAAACTGTGCATGCTTTGTAAAAAAAATTAGGGTGCAATATATTTTAACAAATGTTCTTGAGGGATTTTATTTAGTATTTAAACATAAATAAACATCAAAGACTCATAGAAAAGATAGACATGTATTGGTAGTTAAAGGATGGAGATCTTGAGTTGTCACAGATTAGTTCTCAATGCCACCAGCTCAGTACAGGTCCATTTTATCTCAGATGGTAGCTTTCAGCTTACCTGTACCTGTCACAGTAAACAGTTTAGTTTTAGAGGTTATTTAAAAGGCTAAGTTAGCTTATTGATTAGGGGTTTGGTTTTTAAAAGAACCATTGTTGCAGTCACATCCTCTGTCACTGACATTTTTGATGGACAGCTAAGTCTGCATATAAAAGGGAAGTAAAATAAGGACCAAAATAAAAAGTGAAAAACAATCTTTACAGTCCTGGGTATTGAGAGTAACACAGTCCCCTTGCTGGTGCCAGTGACAGGGTCAGTAGAACATGAACTTCAGTGATTCACCCCACACAGTGTATGTAGAAGGGTTACCAGAAAATGAAGACTCTCAGAAAAAGAATGGTCACGTTTGCATTGGTATATCATACATAAATGTAAGATGCATAAACACTTCCCATGGCATAAAATCATAAAAAAATCCTTTATTGAATAAAAGTGCACTTACAAAAGTAATTAACATCATTAGCACTGTGTACACCTCAAAATACAAATTGCCAGAATCAATTATGGCTGCTGCTCAGCACGAATGCATGGTGACATGTATGCAGCTATCAGCAATGCACTTTCTGGACTATTAATTTAGGTCAGGTGGCTTAGAATGACAAATGATGTTGAATAATAGGGGCTTTGTTATGTGCCAGCATACTAACTATAAAAGGCAGTGTTCCCAGCAGGCCATATTCTAATGTAAGATATATCAGACCATTAGCTAAGAGAGCCTTTTACTGGAGGTGGTAAACAGGTGGCTAAATAAAAGTCTTATCTGAATTAAAAGAATCAGCTCCCAATGACTTCAGTGGTGCTCAGATCCAGCACCCGAACTTCAGTAATGTCAGTCAAACCCACCTCAAACCAAACCCAGAACTGTGTATGAGACCTTGAAGTTCAATTTCTAGAGACCAACAGGGATGCTGAAGATATCAGGATTAGCTTTTCGGCAGAGAGCACTATGTGTTTCCCATTTTTTAAATTACATATCTGTGTGGGATAAAGCGCAAGTACATAAGGAGACAGCAGTATCCTTTTTGATCCTCAAGTGGGAAAGAATGTTATGACCTTCCTGTTAGCCCAGGGGTCACATTGGTAAGGTGAGCAGACACAGTTTTTGTGGTGATTTAATTGAGCACCTTCACACTTGGATGTATGAATATGACCACTAATTTGAATCACTGGATTATTCAGCTGTTTCATTGATCATCAACAGTGATTATAATTTGATTCATGTGTATATTATTGCACTGCACTCTGTTTGTAATTCCCAGCAGGTCAGTATGTGTTTCAGTAGATAAGGGAGAGATGACAGTGCGTGACACTATGTTTTGCGGTTTCTCTCTTTTTATGCATGGCTGAGGAGGATTGTTAAGTGGAGGTGGAACAACAGAGGAGTGCAAAAGATCTAAGATTAAGAAGTGGATTCATCTGATTCATTTGGGAATGTTCATGTGAGTCCTATATAAGGGACACAAGCGCTATATGACCTTACTTAATGGTTCGGTCATATACAGTATTCTGGGTGAGAGTACATCTGGTAGAGGGCTCATATCACTTAAAGCATTGGGCACACAGTGGTGATGAAAAGATTGGAGAAGTAATACCAGCTTTACATCAATAATGAGGAGTGTGAACACGCACATATAGTACTATTGCTGGGCTGAGTTATTACATTCTCAAGCTCATTTGTTTTTATTTATCACAAACATATTCTCATTTTTGCTCATGTTATGTAAAATTAGTTGGTTTAAAGTGAAGCGCAGCACTCTTGAGCAGAGGCAGACTGACAACTCATGGGGCCCCGGGCAATAGGGGATCATGGGGCCCCTGTGTCCTCATCCACGCTCAAACCACACCCAAAAAAGCCTATGAAAGGTACTAGGGGCATCTCATGGGGCCCCCTACTGACCCAATTGGGCCCGAGTGCCCAAATGGTCAGTCCGCCCCTGCTCTTGAGGTAAATTGCATGATAAATAACGCATCTGATATGAGAGTGTGAATAGTGTGGGTGATTAACTGCCATATATTATGCACAAATAGCAGCTCACAAGGTTATTGTATTTAAAAGTATGGGCATACATATAATTACATCTCCAAGCACATTGTACTCCTCCTGAGTATGGGGGTATCACATGTGTAAGACTTTCAAAGCTTGGACTGATTAAGTAGCTGACATTACCTCTTGTGTATTACAAAAATCAACCAATTTGCTCACCTCTGTATGAGCTATCAGGAATATAGCTTAGCGTAGCTTGGTAGTCCCCTTTCTCATAAGCCAAGCAAGCATACTGCTATGTGGCTGCCCCAGAAATGCTATGCAATGCTATATTTACTGACCTGGAAGTACAGGAGGATATACAAGGGTTCCAGGAGTGCAGTTATCCACAGAGGACGGTTAGCACTGGTGTTTCACAGGAACAGTCAGTGGATCATGCCGATGGGTGAATTTAGGTGACAAGCAGAGACATGCTGAGAAACAGGAAAAGTGTCTTTCCAGGCAGCAGGCAGAAACATGGTCAATAAACAGGCTAGGATCAGTTCAGGCGACAGGCAGAGATGCGGTTAGCAACAGACAGGCGAAGGTAAGTTCAGGGGGCATACAGAGGCAACACCTTACTGGTATGGTAGTGATAAGAAACATTGTTGCTTGCTTAGACTGGTCTAGTGACACTGGGAATCGTATGACAGTGATCAAGAACACTGTTGCTGTCCTATGCTTGCCTGGTGACATTGTTCTCGGTGTGGCGGCAATCATGAACACTGTCACTGGCTTACGCTGGTCTGTTGATCCTGTACTGGTATGTTGGTTATCAGGAACACTGTTTATGGCTACACTGGTCAGACTGACCATTTGGAAACTGCCCGAGGGCCCGGGGTCAGTAGGGGGCCCCATGAGATGCCCCGGTACCTTTTTCATAGGCTTTTTTCAGTTTGGGCAAGGACACAGGGGTCCCATGATCCCCTATTGCCCGGGGGCCCCATGAGTTGTCAGTCCGCCCCTGGCTAGGACCATAGCTACTGAACCATACCCCTACCCAACTCTCTCTCTCACTCCACATTCCTACCCGACTCTAATTATACCAATGAAGGAGACCAAACCACAGTTGCAGTAAAATGGCCATCACGGCCTTTTATCAACAATTCAAATTAAATAACTCAAAACATTCCTTAAAACATCTCCTTAGAAACACCAGTCCCCTTATTCAAAGGCCAGGCAAAACACTGCCACACTGTTTTGCAGCCATTATGCCTGGGAGGCAGGAGCTACAGAGATTCTAACAATTCTTCAGGGACAGGCTGAGAGGTGGCTGACCCCACACCATTTTGTGTCAGAGAAGGTTGTGTGTGTCTGCCTTTCTGCAGGAAAAGTTCACACGTTCCTTGCTTGGCACATATATTGAACGTGATAATGCAGCAGTTCTTTGTTAGATACCATGGCTTTCAGGATGTCCTGTGGCAGGCCAGAAGTGTACGCAGTCACTTTAGTTGTCTTTACTCTGCAAATGTTTGCCTAGCCAAAATGCATCAGCAACTCATGCTGCCCACCAACCATTTGAAATGCAATAGACCCATGTGTTCGTTGTTGGTCATGCTGCAGTGGCCGTGCCAGCAGTAGTACATCATTAGTGAGCATCTGTTTGAGTACCCAAAGAGGACAGGCTCTGGAGAGCATGAGTTCTCTTTACTATGTCATTAGCTCCAGATTTAGGATGTGCAGCATCATGTTGCTCTTCAAAGAGGTTACCTAAATGGTGAGCATGATGAGGCAGAAATTAGCAACAAAATGCCTCTGGTGTTTCTGCTGGAGCACATATTGTATGTTGTGCTGGACAGACACTCAA